ACATTAGTCTCTGAGCTACCTTACTCTTCTCAAAATGAGTTAAGAGTTTACTGTTTGGTCCAAACACAACAGAGGTACTTTTCGTGTCTTACATCAATCTTTTTCATCCATAAAGTTCTTACACAATCACACACGAAGACATATGTCCGAGAGTTCTCTGATCAAACCCATCGAGACTTAGATATATCAAAACTCTGTTTTTATGATCTGACATCATGAGAGCGTGATGAAAGTGAAACCCAATTTTCATTACATTTTTTTAAGGAATTGACGGGGAACTAAGTTCCAGATTTACACGAAACTTTTGTTTCTGTACCAAAATTCGAAACTCCAAATCATATTCATTTCGAATGAGTGGTCTTGATCAAACATTCGAAACCCACGATGTTTGTTACCCAACAAGATCCAGCACACAAATTTTTTTCTTGAATATGATTTCCGTGTGAGTTTCATTCGAATGTCCTCGTCATTTCACAACTTTACAAAGCCAACTTGACACTGACTACACTGGTCAAACAAGCAATTTATGTTATAATTTCTCACCTTATGTTTAGGATGACATGTAACAAAATTTTAAACCATCCACGAAGCATTATAAAAGAAGCCCTTTGATACTTATCAACAAGTATTCGATTGTAATTCACGGGAACCCACACAAGCTATTGATCATTTCTCTTAATGATTAATGAAGTAATCTTTGCCCGGGATTTCATCTGCTTTTGTGTCAATGGTTTGACATCACAATATCCCATATTTTTCTTATATTTGTTTCTCGTCTCTATTCTTTGGAACACAACACTCACGAAATCCTTGAGGTTCTGAGTACTACCAACTCAGGCTGATGATTTTGAACTTCTGGCGTATGACTTCGCTTTTCATCCCAAAAGTGAAAGAGCCTTGCTTCCATTCGAAGGGTTCTGACGGTTACAATTTACTTGGGGATTACAAGATAGGCTGTTTATAAATGACGTATGGTATTCTGTCCGTTTTTCAAGGCGATGTGACAGCTACTTTTTGACGCATGGCTACTTTTACGCAGTAATGGTCTGATTTTCAAGATGCCACGTCGGATATCATTAAATACATATCCCGCTTCAAATTCAAATTTAAGGGTTACATATAAAAGGGAATTCCAGGGGTTCATTGTCAGTTTACGCGATCAAAAAGCAAATTTCCCAAAATTCTCTGTTCATCATCATCTTCAAACCCTAACAATGGCGACTTCTGCTCATGTTGATTCTCATACCACTGAAGATGCCTCTTCATTACCAATAATGAAGATTCAAGCAACAAGCTACTACTTGGAGGGTGAAGTTTCTCAGTACCCGGAAGAATTAAAGATGCTCATAGTTGCTTTGAAGAACTTGGTTTTGGCCAAAGCGATGTTCAACTCTTTCTATGTTCCATTGTCCTGGCTTTCTCAAGCAGGATCAACTGCGACATACAACAAAGCAACTGATACGATTACTTTTCATCTGGTGAACGACAAAAAGGTCAGGCTAACCAAGAAACTATTTTGTCAAATTCTTGATATTCCGAATTCGCCTCCATATGTTTCATTTACTTTTCCACAAATCGTTCACATGTTTAATGAGATGGGATATCAGCCACCATTGTCCAAGATTAGTGATTTTAAGAAATCTGGTCTTCCACGAATCTGGAACTTCTTATTTGGTATTTTTCTACGATGTTTGACTGGGAGATCAGCTGGCCTTGATAAAGGAAGAATGGAGGTTTATGCCATGGTTGCTGGAATCTACTATGATCTTCAAGTAGATTATTCTACACAATTGTGGAAGGAATTCCAAAAGGGTGTAGAACACACGAATGCTATTCATGGTATTTCGTGTGCAACACGACTATGCATCATTGCATCAAAATGTTGATATCATTTGTGACGCAGTCACTCGATTTGTTAAGTTGTATGAAAATTTGAGTCCTCAAATTACTCAACTTTCAACATCCGAAAGTGCAAGCTTTGAAGAAGTGTTTAAGTTGCTCAAGGAATTAAAAGAGATTTCTGATAGGCCGGTTTCTTCTCCATTGATTACTCCTGAATTTTTATCTCAGAAGTTTATCCAATTCGAAGCCATTCTCAACAAACAACTAGCTCCTCTCTTTCGCATATCAAGTCTTCTTCCAACCACAAATGCCTCACCTGTTTTCACAGGGGTGCAAGGGGGAGAAAGAAAAACTAGTGAGTCGAAGACTAGTGGAGAAGATGTGAAAGTTGTGGGAAAAGTCTTTTCTTCGAAAATCCCTACAACAAAACCAATAATTGTTTCTGCTGAACAGGTGACTTCAACAGTCGTAACAACAATGCCAATTGTAAGACCAATTTCGAAAGGAATTGTGATTAGTTAATTAGTTAATCTTCGGAGACTGGTGGGAGTGGTTCAAAACCGAAAGAGACAACTGAAAATCAAGCCTTGAAAGATAAAGGCAAGTCAATTGTTGTGGAAAAATCAAAAGAAGAAAAGAAGGCTGAAGTTGATGCTGAAATCGAAAAGCTCAGAATAGTTCAAAGCATTATGGCTCAGCAAGCAAATGATCCGAATGGAATGGATAAAGGGGATCCAACTAAACACTATAACTACGAAACAATCGAGGCCAAGGTTGCATTCAATCACATGTATTCATTTGAGAAGAAACCAAAGCAGAGTTATTTGGTCACAAATACTGATGCAAGCCAGCTGGATTTTCCCATAAACGAAATGATGTTTATCATGCCTCAGTTCAAAGCAGAAGGGAATTTTAAAAATAAAGATGAAGGTACACACATGAAAATTCGTTTTCATGTTGTTCTTGGAAAAGCCCCTGAGTAAGTTTGGTCTTTAATAAAAATCAAGAAGGTCATAAGTATGAAAAAGGATGTGGTTTTCGAAAACACAGTCCAAAATGTTAAGCATGTGGTTGCCAGGGCAAATGGAAATATTTGCGAATTCACTGTTGCAGATTTTCCATTAATGAACTTGTATGATCTTATATAAGTTGCATTACTTTTGAAAGACAAATCATTCTCATACCTTCAAAACACAGAACCAGATGAATTCAAGATTGGAGTAGCTCACATCAAGATTTTTATCGAAAACTATTATGAGTGCTTGGCACTAACAGATGTTGAATTAGCTACTGCCAAAGGAATGGAAATTAAAGCTCTGATGGCTCCTACGAAGACTCGGGCGGATTTGAAGAAGTATGCTGATGGTGAAATTTGCCTGAAGCCTTTTGGAATTGTCTTCGCAGGAAAAGACAAAGCTGGAAAGTCTAAACGGTTCTTATTCCAAGCAAGTGAAGTCGAGAGATATTCAACATCTCAATATACGAACTTGATTGTTCGTATGAATCATTGCAAGAAGAACAATGAAGGTGACAAGAAAGAGCTGAAGAAGATTATCTCCTGGTACACGGAGATTCGAAGAGTATTATTGTATTCCATCACACTTCTTACAAATTGAAGACTTCGACTATGATTACAAAGGGGGAGATTGTAATGGTCGAATTGTTGTAATTAGTCGAAGTATGTTTTGGACTCTTCGAATGTTTTGTAATATATTTTACTAGGGCGCTTTTATTCAAAGCTTTAGAGTCAATGCCTTAGTATATTTTTTGTATGCTTTCAGTTCCCTATAAATAGGGTTATTTACTAGAGTTAGATAAGAACTTTTACAGACTTGTCTATTGCACTCTGTAAAGAATTCGAAAGCATAATAAGATCATATTTACATCGTGTGTTCAAATCTCATATTCTTACTTGAATTCATACTCTGATTAATTCATTACTCGATTCATTGGTTCATCACAAGAGAAAAATCTTGTTCTTGGCAATTTCAATTGAAGTGTAACTATAAAATTTTGGAAGGTGTTTCAAATGACAAAATATTCAAAACTAAATCAAATCAGTTAGAAAACTTTCCAAACTCTGTATTTCAGTTATAAAATTTTCCAAACTTTGTATTTTAGTGTATCCCCAAACCGGGAAAATTATTAAATGCTAATTTTGATCAATAAAATATGGTTTTTGTAATTTAATTGTGTTTTACACCAAGAAATTCTAATTAAATAGCAAATAGTAATTAAAAATTACAAAACTTTTTATTTGTGTTCCGATTGTAATAAAAGATTTCCAGAAAATGTCTAAGTAATTTTAGATATGTATAGCTATTTTTTTTCTATATTTAACCACTTAAATCTTCATAAATTCATGGAAAAATAATAAACATTTAATAGACTTTTCAAATTGTGGGTCTGATTTTTTGATTTATGGATGTTTTATCTTAGGAGATTGAAAATAAATAGAAAATAATTTAAATAAATCCTCAAACTTTTTGTACCTCTGATATATATTGTATATAATATGGAAAATATATCAAAAGTAGTTTTCATATAGTATAGTCCGGTTTTTTATGATTTATGTGTATTAAATGTAACAAATATAGCATAAATAATAAACTGAAAAATAATATTGAAATTTGTTTTTTAATAGTTTAACCTGATTTAATGTTTTTGTGTATTTATTCTATTAAAAATATAAATAAAAATTAAACTACTTAGAAAACTTTCCAAACGTTTTCTTTGTTGTTAAACCCTAGTACACCATGCTATGGTAATTTCTTGTTATTTTTAGAATAGCTTACCTATTTTTTCTTTATTTATTCTCATAATTAAGAACTAGGTGGGGTACCCCGCTCCGCTGGGTTCGGTTACGACCAGGCTTTTAGTCTTTTGGTTTTCGGTTATGTATGTCGTTTAGTCATAGGTAGTGTGTGGTTGGTTATCGTGTTTGAGCATAGTTTTCGTCTTTTGATAATCGAATCAGTAAAGCCATCTTCAAAATCAAAAGACGAAAACTATGCTGAAAACCGGTTTTGAGATACTTTTTTCACAATATTATATTTCCACTCTGCAAAAGAAAGCACAAAATAACAACCTACATTATTCAATCCATGAAATCTAGAAGCGAAAACTGAGTGTATTTATCAATCATGAGATTATAAAAAAGGGAACAATGTACAACACATATTACATATTACATAATGTATAAATGTTTATAGCAAATCTACAAAAGCTGGAGTAAGGTTCAATATTGGTAGCACTTCTCATTTCTTGATCTTTCTCTACCATCTTCCTTAACTATTAACCATACCCTTGTACCAAAATTACGAAATTGCCCCTTCCCATCAGCGACACCAAAAATGGAACCCCTGTTTCTGCACCAAAGGGAGATGTGCTACCAATTGGGGTGTTATTTGCATTATTAGTGTGCCGAAAAACTGATGGAGAACAAAAGGGAGTACCGGATGACTGCTCGAATGCTGTTCAAAAAATAAATAGAAGCAAAGATGGAATTTCATACTTCATACTGGCAAGTTACAGTATTCAGATAGTAAAGTGGGTAAAATACAGGTTGAACATCTGTCAGAATATACAGACAAAAAAGTAATATCTATTATATACAATGAAAAGTATTATGACGAAAATACCCTTTTATACATAAATATTGAGTTTAAGGGTCTGTGGTGGTTTTGACATAACTTATATAGTTATATTTATATTTATATTGTATCAAGTATTTTTTTTTTTTATAATTTGTAATATTATTATGAGTTTTTTAGCAAACTCTACTTTCTACATGAAATTGGTTTTGAATAAGTTGAGTAAGAACATTATGTTTATTGATTTATATTTTAAATTCTTAATAAATAATCAAATAGTCTTCTTAAACTATTTATCAAATAAAATATAATCTCAGCAATTGATAGTTCTCATCCAAGAGGCATTGAAAATTGAAGAGCACATACGCTTTTTTTACATATTAAATTTACTTATCAAATATAACATGGGACATATCTTTGATTAGTAGTTAGATTTATTTATGAGATCATAAAAAAGTAAACATATTAAAAACAATCACTTAATATTCTACTAGTTCCCCATTAACGAACTTCTAATAGATAATTAATTGGTTATACAATAAATATATTTGTAAAAGATATAATTTCTTGTCTCAAATTAAATACGACATTTTTTTCTAATTTAAACTAAATGTTATATTATAGTAACCTTATATATTCTTGTACCTTTTGTAAATAAGTTCCCACATTTTTTTTGTATAATTAAAATATCTCATCCATGCACATAATTAGCGAATGTCGTTTTAATTGGACACAAAAATCCTTAGACTCAATATTTTATTGTCGGCCAATCTTTAGATGGGACATACTTAGAAAATATAATACACTTTTATAACTTTTGAACATGAACATGAACATGAACAGGAGGGAACATTCTCACACAAGTGAAGCTGTGGCAGAGTGCTTCAATTGCAGTTGTATTATTTTTGAGTCTAGAGATTCAGAAAGGAGAGAAAGCATAAATTGAAGTTAAGTCAACATACCTGGGAGACATGATGTTCAGGTCCATTAGTTAAGGAGAAAGTGACAAGTTCTTTTGATTCTTCTACCTCTCCTGCCCCTGTTAACCAACATTCTTGTGTACAGAAGCAACTGTAGTTCCATTTTGTTTTCATAGACATGAGGAGGTATTGCAGTTTCAATTAAATCTTCAATGTTCAGTGCTCCTTCTATCAAGTTCAATGTTGTTAATATGTTTTCTATGCTAATTGTGGTGATAAATCCTATAAAATCAGCATCATTGTAACATTTCGTATAACTTTATCATGGAGTAAAATCAAAATCAAATTCTGTTTATAGACAGAATACTTAAAAGTAAGCATTATCCAGAAATCAGATGTAACTGAAAATCATAACGAAACTTATTAACCCCTTTCCAAGTAGAAGAATTCTGTGAACCAATACAATGCGAGACAGATCATCATCAGAGGTTAGAGACCCGATAAGCATGACATAGTTTCACAGTAGATAATCTTCTAATCTAGGTCCTTTCTTCAATTTGATAAATTGATGATTAGGAAGAACCTGCACATAAAGATATCGACTCATACTAATCTGATTATTAACAAAATATAAACCTTTCATCTATTCAAACATTTGTTTATAGAGAATCAAAAACTTAATCAAAAGACTAAAATAATAATTTTAAGTTATTAAAAGAACAAAAAGCACATAAAAGAAGCAGTTACTGTACGTTCAGTCTCATCATCCCTTGTCATAATTCTGAATCCTCAAATTCCAATGGCTTCAAACTACCCCCTGTGACATGACGCATACACAATTTAATTACTCTTACATAAAAATCTAATTACTCATGTATATACATATCATTTGTAGAGAAATGAGTGCCCAATCACAAAAGACTGAATTATAAACTTAAAGAGTATAACAAAAATACACCATATAAAAATATACCTTCATGATGCATAAAAGGAATCATACCTTGATGCAGATGATAGATCATTATCATTTGCACCTTTATTCAATGAGAAATAAACAACATCAAACACCAATATCAGGCCGCATCTTTCTGCCGAAGTCACCAGCAAGCATCTGTAACAAACTAATTATACATGAAAAAAATGACATAAGGTCATATTTGTTTATGTATCAATAAAGCTGAAAACATATGCAAGTGAAGTTTATAAATCTTACATCTCAATCTCCAGAAAGTTCAAGTAATCCGATTCTGATGCCAATTGCAACCGACGAATCGAAAAAACATTAGCGTCCCACCCTACACATATCAACATATATATATATATATATATATATTATATATATATATATATGTATGTATAAAATTATATGTTTATTTTTCATTTATCCATTTCCTTCGATGAACTTAAAAATTGAATAAACTGACTGGGAAAAGGAAAACAAATAAACTGAAAGTATACATACCACAACCTTGTCTTCTTCCTTCATGCCAAGCACCTTCATATCTATGTCCATTTGCAAATCGATAGACACCAAAACCATGCATCTTGTCTGCAAAATATTCTCCAGCATATGTGTCCCCATTTTTGCATCATCATATCATCACATTTTAAATAATACTATCAGTGGAAGAATTAATAGTGAACTGTATGTGTCCAAGAAGAACATGAATGGATTCAAAATCTGTTTAGATGGGTGGAATTAATAGTGAACGGTAAAAGCCAAGGGTATGATAACTGATAAATATGAACCTTATGATATCAATGTATCAGTTTGTTAACAAATTCAAAAAACATATTCACATCATGTCAATATTATTAGCAAAACTATTGTTATTGTATCTCAAATGAATTAAATTACAAGTGAGATTAAAGAATAGCTAATCAACAAAGAAGGCACATAGAAATAACTATGTGAGCCAACATCTTTACAATTGAAAATGTAATGTGAGCCATGAAGAAGCTAGAACATACTTTTTTCTCTTATGGTTTATTAGAATAATACGCACCTCTACTTTAACATGCTTCTCTTTCTTCTTTTTTAAAGGCTTCTCATTATCTGCTGCGGTTTTTTCACCAAGTAAAGCATATACCTTTGAATCTATAAGGCTCTGGTGAAAGAAACATGAAGGATAATAATAAATTTATAATAAAAAGATGGATAAAAGAAGAAAACTGAGTTATTTTAACTTATTTACCTTAACAATCTTTGGATCTGCCCAAGGCTGCTTTTTTCTGACATGAGCAAACGGATCACCAACTGAAACCAATCATCAAAAGGACACATCAGACTCAAATTCGACAGCTTGTATGAAGGAAATATAAGAAAAAGCAAACTCAGCATTTGTTCGATACCTTTGCTAAAAAATTGCACTCTTTTTCTCTTCAAGGGTTACATTAACTGTGTTTTCTATATCTTCAAGAGAGACCTCAAAACCCTGTTTACCAAATAAGTATTTCAATTATATTACTTCACAGGAATTAAGGATCTTAGCATAATATATTTTCAATTATTTGGAAAATAATAGCGATAGTTTGAAGTTTCATACCAACTCCATAAGTTTCCTCAAATTTAGTAATTTCAAGATCCTCTGAAGTGACTTTAAGATATGCAAATGCAGCTTCTACCTGGGATGGACTCTTTATCTGCAATAGCCAATAGTAACAGCTGCCTGCTAAGACAACATTGAATATAGAACGTGTATGTATACATATCCAAACAAATGTGTCAGAAATATGAAGCAAAATATGAAGCTGAAGTGATAGTCTCATCACAACAATTCAAAATAAAAGTAAGAGAAGCTGCTTTAAAAGTGTAACAACTCTATAAGCACCTCATAAAAAGTTACAAATTCACTCTCACAATTACCAATTTCTACTTATATGCTTATAAATCATATTCTCTTCTTCATATGATACCAGTGAATATGTGCATTTCTGAGCCCAGCGAAGCCAAAGTTTGGTATTAGGGGTTTGAAATGACAGTGGATGAAACAATGCTAAAACTTATATGAACTTTAGCAGCTTACGTGTAGAATTGTTCAAAATCAGCTGAAGCCGAGAAGAAATCACCAATTTCGTTTAACTGAAACTAATAATAATCCTTAATGAAATATTGTATAGAAAACAAAATGAAGAAATTGGAGCAGGAATAAGAAACATACAGTAGCGCTCAACAAATTGAAAAGGGAATCATCAGATGACTAAAATATAGAAAGCTAGGGCTTTTACCAGACGTTTTGGCTTCACCGAAGGGAGCTACCTGCAAAACTTAGGGAGTGAAAGTTAGGGCTAAAAATCGCACATCTCATAAAATTGTTCAGAAAATACGAATCGTGAAGAAGCAGTGAAAGTAAGATGGAAAGGGTTTTCGCAGTTGAAGCAGCCGACAACCCCAACGCCGATTTCGAACGTCGGTGGCGACGACTACGTTATAGAACACTTCTTCGACCATGCCACGAACATCGCCGACTATCAGTGATGCAATCACTGGTGCCGCAACGGCGTATAATGGGTTGATTTTGCCGCCGATGCGAGGACGTTTCTGGAAAGAAATCACGGTGCGTAGCAAGAGAGGTGAGTTGAGGAAACTCGTGGCTGATTTGGCGATATGGGCTGAAGGAAACCGCAAGGAAAACGGATAAACATGCGATACAGTCACAGACCAGGCACGATGACCAACACGTGTAGATAGGAATACAATTATTTCCATAAAATACCCTTATACCCTAAACAATCCAAAACTGTAAAATAACGTATAATGAAGGGACCATTTCTGCCACTTCAGTATTGCCAGGCTCGCATTCCTTAACCTATCCAACAATAGTAGAGGGACCAATTCTGTTAAAAAATCACGACTTCACTATTGCTAAGCTCGTATTTCTTTAATATATATATATAATAATTAATTCATGAAAAATTACTAAACAGTAAAAAAAAATTCATTAACATTTTTATTTAGGATTAATATGTATTATAAGATATGCTGATAAAGTTTTATCATTTTTAGACAATTGTAGATATTTATTATCCATTTAACCCCTTAAACCTTCATTAAATCGGGAAAAATAAGAAATGTTCGTTGAAAAAATAAGAAATATTCATGGAAAAATCAGTAAATATTTTTTGTGGAGTCTTTATGATGTATAGAAGGTGTGAAAATTATCAAATATGGTTTTTGACATTCATAACTTTATTTTACAAATGTTTTCTCTTCAACAAAAATAAAATCGAAATAACTACAAAAATGTCATAGAAATGCATGAAACATTGCAAAATGTCGTTAATATGTGTATGGGTCATCCCAAAGATTTATAAGAATTTATTGACCACAAAAAGTATTTTATGTGAATTATTGTTCTGTTATTTTTTTTCAAAAATTACAATAAATCGATAAAAACGAGTTATTTCTGAAAATTTTCACGTCATCTTATTTTGTTGTTTGGATTCTAGGAAAATCGGATTTGATCAGAAAAGGTGATTTAGATATTTATTTGTGAATAAATCTTTTATGACACATTTAAAAGCTTTTTAACAACAAACTTTGATCATCTAGCATCTAAGCTTGAAGATCATCACATGCATGTTGGTTTGAAGAACATTCATGAGTTTCAAATGTTCAAAAGTCATTTTTGAATGAAAACTTTGGGTGCATGTGATGATTTTCCGCCAAAACTTTGTAGAAAAATACATTTCCTTGATTTTGACTTAGGTTTATGTTATGGGACTTCACCATTTTCAACATGCATGTTGCTTTTGGGTGAAGTCCTACCACCATCATCATCAAAATCATGAGTAAGTGCAAGTGTTCATGATTTTACAATAGAATGGTGTAGAAGAAGAAGAAAATGCATGAAAAATAGTAAAACTTGAAGGAAAAGTGAGGAGAAAAATCGATTTTTACCTTCAAGAACACCACAAGATGGTGAAAATTGCAGGTTTAAAGAGTGTTCTTGGGGCTTATTTTCTGGAAATTTTCATGGTTGATAGAGTGAGGAAGACAGAAATGGAGTGGTGGAGTGTGAGACAGAATATATATATATATATATATATATATATATATATATATATATATATATATAGAGAGAGAGAGAGAGAGAGAGAGAGAGGACAGAAGATGGAGTGTTGGAGAGGTGGAGAATGATTATGAGTATTGGAAAATGATATATTTGGGGAAGTGTGGCCGAAATTTAAAGGAGGAGAGAGGAGATTTTTTTTCTCTTCCATTAGTTTTATAAAACTTCTCCATTTCTTTTATAAAATTTCCCCAAATTTTATAAAATGTGCATTTTAAATAAGATTTGTTGATAACTCTTGAGTTTTTAGATTATAAAATAAGGTTAAATGTTAATGGATTAAATTTTTATTTCTCTTGATTATATTTTTCCTAATTTTAATTCTTTTTCGAATAATATTATAAAGTTCATAACCATTTTATATAATTCTTGGCGTTAAACCTTATAAACTTGAGTTTTTAAGGCTTGTATGGCTTTTAGGAGTTTGTAAATCTTTGGATATCAAAATTAATTGATTTTTTGAGACTTCAAACTATTTTAGAGTTTCATAACTCTTATTCAAGTTAGATATAATGTTTGTAATTTATTTTTATCGGTTTATTGACATTTCTATGTAGTGGTTTTGATATTCAAGTGAAATTGAGGAATCAAGTATACTAGTCCTCGTTTCAACTTTGACTTCAGTTCCTATGAGACTCTGACTTAATTTCTACTTCTAGGTCAAGTGCATGATGTATCTACATAAATGTAAAAAGATGCTCGAGTCAATGAATGATGCGAATTTGGATAGTTGTGACTGTTAAAGTAGTAGTAGAATTCACATATCAATGTGAAATCTAAGTACACTATCCTTCGATTCTACTTGTTTCCAAGTTTCTAGTAAGTTATGAGTTAGCCTCGAGCTACTAAGTCTAGCATGTGTCGTGCCTATTCGTGCAACCGAGCTTAGTCAAACTAGAACCGATTCGTATTTTGATGGTTGTCACAGTTTTGGAACAAGTCGTTTGTATGGTTTGCTGTTTTAAATATGAAAATTTTACTATGAATTTTTGTGATGTTACACTTGTACAAGGGATGTCCATACTTCACAAAAGTTGTTTGCAGTTGTTCAACTCTTCAATGTGAAGAGAAAGTATGGTGTTTCAGATAAGTGCTTTACTGAATTCTAGATTTTGATTAAAAAGATGCTACCTGACAATAACAAAATGTGTAGCCGTGCGTATGCGGCTAAGAAAGCATTGGAAGAAATGGGTTTAGGGTATACAAATATACATGCATGTGTTGACTATTGCATTCTTTACAGGAAGGAGTACAAAGGCACCACAATATGTCCCACTTGTTGAACATTCCCTTTAAAATAAAAGATGGATTGGAGGCTCTATTGGATTTAGAGTCTTTTGGTATAAAACAATATTTACATCCTTGGAGACAAGGCAACACCGCTACACTCCCCGTAGCAGGTTACACGCTAACAACAGAACAAAAAACAAGCTCTATGAAACATTGTACAACTTAACGGTTCCATGAGGGTATTTTTCCAATTTTTCAAATTTGGTGAGTCTACGTGATAGGTAGTTGATCGGACGTATATCACATGACTATCACATGATCATGCAACAATTTTTGCCCATTGTAGTACGATTTATTATGCATCCACCCACCAGAAATGCTATTATCAGGCTATCTTTGTTTTTCAAATAAATATCTCAAAGTGGATAAGCTTGATAAGTTGAAAGAGGAGTTATGTGTGACAGTATGTCTTCTTGAGAAACACTTTCCACCATAATTTTTTTATGTTATGGTTCATTTAACTATGCACTTTATGAGAGAAGTAAAACTATGTGCTCCTATATTCTTTCGATGGATGTACCCATTCGAAAGGTGGTATGGAACTTATTAAAGACCACATGTGAAGTGAAAGTAATCGAGAAGGTTGTATTGCTGAAGAGAATGTTGCAAAAGGGACAATTGAGTTCTTTAGCAAGTTCCTGAAAAACATGCATATTGTTGGTATTCCACTTGACAAGCACAAAACTGTTGGAATTGAGAATCGTGAAGAATCTAATTCTCTTATGGATGGAATTATATTGCCAACAAGTAAAACGGTTGATGTTACTCTAGAACTCTTCAACAAAGCACATTTTTAATTACTCCAAAATACAAATGAAGTTGAACCGTATATTAAGTAAGTTTGTCTTATACATGTGTATGTAGTCTTTTAGATTTTTAAATTAAGGTGTTTTATATAATACCATTCAAAGTAATAGTAGCTGACACCAGGAGGTTTTGTAAATTCAACACCCTTAAAAAAGCATGGATAGAGCAAGAGCATAGTAAAACGTTTGGTCGTTGGTTACGAAACGAGGTTCATTTTTTCGTATTTCGTGTTTTCTTTCGTTAATATATTTATCTTTAGCTAAAGTTTACATTATAATAATGTTCAGGTTAAGAAAGAGTTAGTGGTCTCCAGATATAGTATATCGGAGAACGTTAGATGGATTTCAGATGGACCAAACAAGAATGTACTGAAATGTGAAGCGTGTGCTATCAATGGATATACATTTCATACAAAATGTCAAGAAGATAAAGTTCACCAAGACAGTGGGGTTAGTGTAGTGGCAAATGACATGCACATTTCTAATAAAGAAGTAATAACGTATGCCCCAAAACACTATTATGGTATTTTACAAGAGATATGGGTACTAGATTATCGTGTTAAAAATATTGTTTTTTTTCATGTGTGACTGGGTAGATAATAGACGTGGTGTCAAGGACAGTCTTGGCTACACTTTAGTTGACCTATAGAATTTAGGCCCAAACACTGATCCCTTCATATTGGCGTCACAAGCAGAACAAGTATTTTATGTGATAGATCAGCTAGACAAAAATATTGTCTATTGTGTTCAAGACATCTCCCAAAAAATTATATAGATGCATATAAGGATGTAGATGAGGAATTTAGTACTGAATTTTTCCTCAAAATGATAATATATTGCAACATATACACCCACTTGATTTTCTTAAGGAATCCCGAAATGATTATTTTCGGATCGACTGTCATAGTATTGTTGTACGTAAGGTATCTCTTTCTTATTCATTCTAAAATTATTGTACTTGTTTTATATGATTACAATTATATAATATTATGATTCATTGAAATTACTCTAATATTTACATTTGTTTGTATCAGGCACATGAAAAAGATGTTAAAAAAAGGCACCTGAAAAACCTTAATACATGCTTTAATTCTAGTGGGGTTTATAAGTAGGACATGTTATATATGTTTTGGTTGTCAAAACATTATGTAGGTTGCTATTAATGAGTGTCTATATTTAACTGCCTTTTCAAACCCTTTCAAAGTTTAATATTAAATATTCATGTATTGTTTACGTTGTTCCTCTACTTGTCATTAACATAAACACAAATCTTACACCCTGAATATATTCAACATAAAAAATAAATATGTTCACATAGATTATAATTATTAAATGAAGAAGACATTAAAAAAGAATGCAATGAAATGTATACAAACAAATCAAAATTGTCAAACACAATGAATAATAGTAGGTCCAAACATGCTATTTAAATACATAACGGATAATTGATCAAAATAAATAACACATTTATTTCCGTCATTTAATAAAAAAATAAACATACGTAAATTAAATAACAAAAAATAGAACATTTAGGTTGTTCT